GTCTTCTAAATATATCTTCCAATTCATCCATTTCTGACTTCTTATTAGACTGAGTTGGCACACTTTAATTATAAATACGTTGCGAGTAAAGACTTTGTCAAACTTCGAACACCTGTGGCATCTTTAGCGGTGGGACCGACGTGATGTGGTACACTAAACAGTAAACTTGGAGTCTGTTTCTTGTTGGGACAATACATATCATTTTTTAAATTTTTATTTCCACTTACAGCGATGTTATTTTTTGTATTTTTTTGGATATTCTTTTCTCGCTCATTTGTATATCTTTTCTTTATCATGACGGAACAAACACCTAAACCGTTTAAGACTAAAACTCTTTCACCTCCCACGTTTCAACTCATATTATACTAGACCGATAGTATGAATCACCCAGCTTCAAAAGGAAGACACTGATCTTCGACACAAGTTATCTTCGACAATTATGAAACCACGGATCAAGCAGATGGGAACAGGTAAGGAAACGTCACTATGTAACGCATCTACAGGTGGGGGTCCTCCAAAACTGCTGATACATTATCGACACAACTTTTCCAATACGTTGCACAAGCTTTCTCATCAAGGTGTTCAAGCGACCACCAAGCTCTTGAAAAAACGATTTTGTTGACCTGGAATGAACAAAGACGTGAGATAGTGCGCACTCTTGCGTGTGAGGTGTTAGAAATCTAAGGTGACTGGACAACAAATGTCCCTTAGACTCTTCCGTAACTCTCGAATCCAATCTCGGATATATTCATCTTGATTTGGCACGACCCTTACCAGATTGAGATGGATACACTTACCTCTTAACGCGTGTGAACCGTTTCACATGATAGTCAGGAGCAGTAACTATCATGGAAGCTACTGCTGAAACAATGTCTCGCGTCTGCATGAAACGATGGGCAAAAAGGTTCGACTACCTTTTGACTAATGTTATAGGAGATGGATGCCAGTCCCAATCAGGGCTTTTCCGTTGTGCTACTGCACTACTGTGAATGAGATGATTCTGGATGATCACCTATCATGCACAAGCTATTAGTTTAGTGGAATGACAGTTGAAGACTTCAAACTTGGCTGCCAACGTATCCCAATGAAGTGAAGCTCTTTAACTGGTGCTGCTCGATATTTGCAATGCAATGAAAACTGACATTGGATACACGGAAGCTCAAGTCGTCTACGGAACGACACTTAGACTTGCAAAAGAATTTGTGGACCTTTAATCTCCTTCAATAAATCAACATATCTTAAGTCCTACACGAGCGAGCTTACAAACGCCATGCGTTCAGTTTATCATGTTCAAACGCGACTACAATCAACTGATGTTAACGTTTGACTTACCCTACTTTATAGCACAAACGTGTTTGTACGTCGCGAATAATTACGACTGCCTTTTGAAATGGCATACGAATGATCTTACATAGTTCTTCGGCATGGACCTAAGTACTATATTGTCGATAAGAAAGGAACTAAAAACTGCGCATTTAAAAGGAGACCATAATCATGTAGATTTTTTTTTCGGTACGATCGAACAACACAAGCTCCACTATTACGATACCACACCTAATGACCATCGATCACAAAGAAACTTTGGTGGGATCTGACAAAACACCTGAAACGACGCGTTCCGTAGGGAGAGTAAGGTTTCCAGAACATTTGAAGAATTACTGAATGTATGACACTACGTGACATTTCGTTTCATCTTGTTAAATCTTCTGCATCCTTGTGTCAAAAACATCGAAATCAAACATTTTTATCGTGTGCTTATATGCGTCTGTATATACACATACATTGTTTTTCTGAAAAAACCAGAAGCATCGTACGCTATTGCATGTCTACAAAAGGCTTGTAAACAAGTTTACGCCTCTTTTTCGCCCGTGTTTTGTCCTTACACTTATTTGTGTGCATCTTTACATGCACTTACTATTCCTTTTTTTCAGAGCATGCCACAAGTATTTGGAGTTCGACAACTCTTTAACCAATAACACCAACTATGAAGCGTACCCACCTAGTGAAATCAAGAGCTAGAATAGAGGAGGTTCGAAGATATATGTATATATATCGAGAATTGACTGATTTAGACTGGCTAGTGATTGTAAGGGATGTTGAGCATGGCGTTCCCACTCGTCATCTGGTGTGTATGCATGATCTAGCTACTCCAGCTAGATGAGTTCATTAAAACTAATGTGGTCAGCATTCAATGTCGAAAACTTACAGAGCTATCGATTTTGGTATTTCGTTTACCGCTACAGGCTCTACTCAACTCACCTGGCAATACTGACCATACAACCTTTAGAGAATAGGCGGACTAGTGATAACAAGATTATGACATAACATAAACCTCAAGATACCCACAACTCATATAAACAGCTTATGTGATTCGCCAATACACTTAAACTAAAAATGGACCCCCTCAGTATGGAACACGAACGACCTAGTACAATATGTTCGTGCAAACTTGGTGTGATTCGAATACACAAGTCATAAGATTCTATAATGAAAACCATAACAACACGTTCTACTGGATCAGTTGAAAGTATTCTAGATGTTAACCTAAGTTACTGAAGTAGTGAGGGAGATTCCCTTACTCCTCAACCTCTCCGACCGTTATCATGTCCTTAGGTCGTCACTACTCCACTATGGGAAGGGGCATGAATTGTAGTGGTAAATAAATTCACATGATAAATAGTTTCTGATGTGTGGGCGAGAATGATAATGATTGGTTGTCTCGATGAGTCAGACATTAGACAGGATGACAGGTGTTATGTGTTATATATATATTCCCCTGTCCTTATTATGTATTGACTGTTTCTTGTTGATGGACACTTATTGATTGACTTATTGATTGACTGTTCTTTGTGTTGGATTTTGGTGTGGAAATATATTGACGTTATAGTCAGGCTAATCTTGTGTTCTTGATCTGAGTTCTGTTGAAGTCCTGTAGAATAGACACTGGGTGGGAATCTAGTGTAGATATTCGTCTAAGATAAATTAACGTCCCACATACGTGTAATAAGTAAAAGGACTGTTATAACAAAAACCCCTACTGTTATAATCAGCATCCTCTCCTTCACATTTATAACAATGAGCGACGGCATACTTGCGTTATAACAGTTTCGTGAGTCTCCAACATTTGGTGCTGCCCAGTTTAGAATAAACATTCCTTAAACATCGATAGTCTTCTAAATATATCTTCGAATTAATCCATTTCTGGATTCCGATTTAACTGGGTCGGCACACTTTAATTATAAATGTGTTGCAAGTAAAGGTGTTGTAAAACTCCAAATACCTGTGGTACCCGTAAGATTTTTTCATTCACCTTACACTGCCGATACGTTTTCACATTTGATGTTAATTTATGATCGAGATTTATAACTGGTGTTTGACAACACAATGCTTTAGTGAAAGGATAAATTTGTTCATACTTGGATATAATGAGAGTATTGATTAAACTAATTTTATTGTTTAGTGAACAGTTGTCATGACAATAAAGGTCGAGCGATTTTTAAACAACATTTTTTTTCATAATTGTATCCTCGTTTTGGAGGATTTTTATGCTTTAGTGTGCTTAGTTAGTCAGGGAAACATAACAACCTTGGATTTCACGACTGTATTCTCAAAACTCATTTGGTATTATGAAATACTTTAATCCTTTAGGTTAAATATGTCAGATCTTTTTGCTTACATATTTTAATACATGTTTATTATATATATGCATCCTAATATATTAGATTTTCAAAAATTATGATAAATGCAAATTAGGAATTCTTTATTTTCAGTCACTTTTTTACTTGCATATACTTCTGAATATTTGGATACAGTGTTTCGAAACCGTTCAGATCTGAAATGTCCATCGTCACTTCGAAAATATTTCTAGCGTAACATTCGTCATGAAAGCTGATATTTATAACTGTACTTGTACCGGCACAATCCTCGCCAAAATGAATTGTTTTGTGGTAAAATTGAATTTAGCTCATCTCATCCAGGTTTGATGTGCGCCACTAGCTGAATACACACTAACAATCATGTCCCCTGCATAGCCCATGTATGTTTCTTTTCTACACCTGAGTATTCAGATTAGGTGTCCCAGGTCTTTTAATTTCCGCTTCCATTCCAATATATTATATCTTCTAAACCCTATTTTCTTTATTTGTTTCAGTTTCAGTTTAGAACTTGATACATCCATACTTTAGTCCTCGTTGCCATACCACACTAGCGCAGTGGGATAAAATTATTTTAAAACAAATCCCAGATTAGTATGAGTAGTAATATTATTAATAATAGTAGAAAAGGTAGAAGGCCTATAAGAAGATTTTACGACTCAGATTCAAGAGAAAGCCAAGGAGTGAATGTTCGAGTGTCATTGCAAAAGATTTTGAGATATTTTACTGAAAGTCTCTAGTCACTGATCATACAGAGAAAAACATAAAACTTAATATAGAGTTCTAGTTTTAATATCAGTTTATTTTACTTTCACGCATTTTAGTCTGTAGCTTAAGCCTAAAACTTTCAGTCTTTTCTCAAAACATATGTTGCTGTCATCTTTAGCATATTTCCATAGTAAATACTCTTATCGTGTAGATAAATCTTAATAGTGATTAGTTGACGTGTCGGACATATAGATAACTGAACATGTTTGATTTGTATTATATATATTTTTTCTACACCGTTTATTTGTCATAGTATACATGTTAGCCAGTCGAGTAATGTGTTGTTCATCTAAATTCAGTTGAAGTATAGTGGATTAGTCACTGACCGGGTGTTTAGTCGAATGTATGTCAAGCGTGTACGTGATAGTATCGTTGGATTATTCTTTCCAGGAAATCAGACGTCTCATTGTGGTTATTAAGAACCTATTATTCCGTTTTTTTGTCACTTCATTGTTTTCTAATCCTGTATTGCTACCATTTTTGTTTTAGAATTGCTCACCAGCCGTGTCTTCTGTAATTTAGCCAAATTTCATAACCAGGATCAAGAGCATCAATCTTGCTTTCTCTTCTGTTACAAAAATGGTTCAAGTATTTTGCTGAAAAAAATCCATATCCATTTTATAGGTATCACAAATTGAAGCTTATCACTCATTGAAGGATAGAGCGGAAAGTTTTAACTTACTTTGTATCGTGGAGTCTATAATTGGTGGTCTTATTCTAGAACAACCTAAAAATCCTATTGAATATATTAAAAATCGTCTAATTGACACAAAACATATTCAAGAAAATGTTAAAATACACAATGAATTATATACCTGGCCACATCATCCATTATTAGATTCATCTAAATCTCTTACAAATGATGAACATCATCATTTCCTCAAAAGTTGTTTCTATCATCGTATTAAATGTTTACAAGGGGATAAATTACCTCTTGAACATACATCTGAAAATGAATCTAACAATACTGAAATTACAAATCCATTATTCTCATTAACAGAGCTTTATTTAAATCCATAAGGAGATTTCATTCATTGCATTACCATACTGCAAAATTACTACTAGAACCCTTTTTGAGTTTCTTTTATGTCTTATGATAAATGTTGTTAGTAAATCATTAGTTGTATAGCACTGTTATAATTGTTTTTGATAATAAACGACCCAGCTACTCCTATTGCTTAGTATTCTTATACAATGATACTCGACAAGACCCCCAAAAAATCAGAATACGTTGAACAGGAACGAAGTTGTTTTCAGAATAACAAGGGTAGGTGAACAGCAATCACTGGTTTGAATAACGTTCATATATATTCAAAGTATATGCATAAGAAGCTTTTAGATGATTCTCTAATATTTTCATAGTTGAAATCATGAGTCAATTAAAGGTAGACCACTATGGAAAACCTGGAAGCAATGGACGGCCATTTCGTCCTATTTTGGGACTCCTCAGCAGTGCTCATCCACGACCTCGCCTAGTGAGATTCAAACCCAGGACCTACCAGTCTCGCGTTAGAGTACTTAACCGATAGGCCACTGAGCTGGCCGGCATCCATTGGTGTTAATGTCTAACTTTAACTGATCCACGATTTTGAGCAACTGTTCACCAATTGTCTTCAGTGAGTTGATATATTTACAACAAACTTGATTGAACTCCACTGGTCACTGCTTCCCACTAGAACCCAAGGAAATATCTCTAATAATCTGCCAGAGCTGTTTGGTTTAGAATTAGTCAATCAGTGTGCGTCGTCACGATCATGAACATAACGTGCCTTAATCCGGTTTATTTCCCGCTAACAAGCACCATGTAATTTAGTATTTAGTTTCTTAAATATACACTTTATGTTTGTAATACTTTTATGATCTTTTGATGTCTTCATGTCTTCACTGAAATACATAATGTTGAATACGAGAATCATCATTTATTGAGACAATATAAACATCTAATCACTAGTTTATTTCGTAGTAACCACAGAGTAGAAGTTTCCATGACTACATTTTACTAAGATCTCTGTCGGTTTAACGATGATAGAATAAAATCTGAAACGGATTGAAAATGAAAAAAATGTCATGTTAAACAATCAAATTTATTAATAAGGCGTTTGATTACAGAGCTTGAAAAACCTGAATAAATGTAGTGTCAAGGAGAAAAATACAAATATTGTGAAGGATATTTGTTTTAGCAGAACAAACATTGTGAATTGTAGGCCAATGTAGCCAAACATAATATGTTTTTCAAACTCCCATTGAAGATGATCACAATTGATTGATCAATGGGTGGTGATCAGTGTCATGCGTTTCAAGTCCGTCTTAGTGCTGATCGAATGCTATCGATCAAGTTGCAATGTGGCCACTAGTCTAGGTGGCTCGAAATTACGTGCATTATGTTGAAGTAAGATGATGGTTGGAGGTGGTCAACAGGAAACCCTGTACCAGAGTTTCGTGCTACTGGGCACTCCTCAGCAAGGTGTACCTGTAATCTTGAGGGAACTGTTGCTCCATGATGGGTTCGATCCCGTGTCACCCAGCTTCACGGTCAGAGACGTTACCACTGAGCTATTCGGTCCGCAACCGACCTCTTGTATGACTGAGATGTAATCACAATTAATTGATCACTGGGTGGTGATCAACGTCATGTGTGTAATGAATAAGCGATTATATGACTGTTAGATTAGATACTTGTTTGGTGCATTAAACACAGACTAGGATCATATAACAGATACATGATCCACGATCAAAAATAGCGAACTAGATGATAAGGTTTAGGTAACACTTTATTCAAACAATTCATACTGAACGAATCCATAGTTGAAATCGATCAGAGAAAAGAAATCACATAGGAGACAACCAATAAGTTGAGTATTTATTAGTCCACTTTCAGTGGCAAATCACAATTTGCTTTTACTAGCCAAACATCAGAAAGTTCTTCATGTTTAGGGGGGTTGTGCAAAACTTTTGAATCTTATAGTTCAAATCATAGATTGAAACTGTAATGTGTAAGCAATGAAAAATGAGAAAAAAGACAAACCAAAAATGCGCTGAACGCTTTTTCATATTCAATGATTTTATATGCATTTGCAGTATATTATTTTTACATGACTTTTAAGGACTACTTTCAATTTGTAAGTAGCATAAATATATATTTCAAGATAAACTTAAATGGATAGCGCGATGGCGTTTAAAGCGAACAGAACTAGGTTCGAATCTCAGAGTGAACATCAATTCGGAGATACAGGCAAATCCAGCTGACGAGTCTCAAATAAGACGAAACGCGCGTCGTAGATTCCACTTCTAGCCACTATCCATCTTTGTTTATATTTCAGAATGTTTTCAAATCATTTCTTACCAGTCATTAGTTTATTTGAACTTGAAACTAGTTTCAATTTGATCAAATTCCCAATAACTGATAAGAATATCATCAACATCCAATAAGTTTGTCAAGCAGATCACCTTGATCAGTTTTTTGACACATGAAGATTATGTTTTCTTTCTCTATGTCCGGCTGAGCTACACTGAAACGTTCATAGTAGATTGTTCCCGTATAACTTTAGTTAGAGAAATCTGTTTAACTGTGGTAAATAATAATCCGTATGGGTTTATTGTCTTCTTTGACTTAAATAATCAATCATAATTAATGACCCGATGACTTGTTTTTATAGCTAACATTTGAATGGTCCTTTAGAAGATTGATGTTTTTCATTTTGACTCAACATGACTTATGATGGAGTAATCAGTCAGTCAGTCAGCTACAAAGTAGGACCAGGCACATATTTGCATTTGTCCAAGTTGCCATACCTCATTAGCACAACAAGATCAACACCGGATTTATAGAAGTAGTTAATTTAGTGGTGGTAATATATAAAAGAAAGGTTGTATATAAGCATATAGCCAAGAAGAAAGACAGATATGAAGCAATTTTAATCTCAAGGTTTTAGGGAACATAAAGAGTGTATGCACCTACGCCATTGTGGTCGATTCTGAGCCATGTCACAGCACACAGTCTCCAATCATTGGTTAAGATAGTCAAACGGACCCCAACTAGGTAGTCTGCATCTACCAACATGGCTCAGACTGGAAGTTAGTGACTTCAAGCACTGATGCCACGTCTTGGTTTGGCCACCCCTAACTCTCTTCCAACCATCGCCAATACTAGTCAGCATAGCGCGTTGTGGTAATCGGTGTTCAGGCATATGTAACACGTGGCCCAACCATCTGAGTTGATGAAGATTCATAACCTCGTCAACTGATTTACCATCATTCCATAATACCCTGTGTCTAACCTCACTATTACTAACCCGGTGATTCCAGCAGATGCGAGCAATATTTCTAAGTTATCTTTGGTCAAATACTAGTAACTTAAGATTATCTTCTACTCTTAATGGCCATATTTTACAGCCGTAAAGTTACTTGAAGTTATAAAATGATTTATACAACGTCAACATTCTGATGGATTATTGGTCAAAATGACTAACCAGTGAAATAAAGTTCTTCGTTGAAACAAAAAGTAAAACACCTTAGTAATTTTATAGTTGAATTCATGAGTCAATTGAAGCTAGAACACCATGGAAAACCTGGAAGCACTGGACAGCTGTTTCATCCTATTGTGGGACTATCCGGCAGTGCACATCTACGATCCCGCGTCGCAAGATTCAAACCCAGGACCTATCAGTCTCACGTGTGAACGCTTAACCTCTAGATCACTGAGTTGGTTGACATCCAACGGTGTTAATGTCTAACTTCAACTAATCTACGAAATTGAGCAACCGTCCACCATAGTCTTCAGCGAGTCATTATCTCACAACAGACGTGGCTGAACTCCACTGGTCACTGCTTCTCACTAGAACTGGGTTCGAATCTCACGACGCGAGATCGTAGATGCAAACAGCTGAGGAGTCCCAAAATAGGATGAAACAGCCGTCCGGTGCTTCCAGGTCTTCCATGGTGGTCTAGCTTAAATTTTCACCTGAATTCAACTATAAAATTACTAAAATCTCCACAAAACCCCTCTCCACTTAAATCTAGTTCATCTTGTCACTGAATTCAATAATTAGCTAAACAAAAAAACATATTCAGATATTCGTTTTATTGTTCTCTGTCATCTAAAAGCTTTTTTTTACACAGAAATAATAAACGTTTTATTACAAACTGGATGTTTGAAGAGAGTAATGATGTTTTAATGTTCTTTTACTGATTCTCAATTAATTAATGACGATAGCTGCATGTAGCAAATGAAATATCATCATCATCATCATAGTTTTAAATTAATATATGTCCTATCGCCAAGGTATGTTAACACAACGTAGACATTTTCGATGGAATTTTGTTCTCTAAGCTGGATGATTTGGTTGTGGAGCTTTCATCGTCCTTCTGAACAACATCATCAGCACAAATTCAAACACTTCACTTCTACCCAAAGTTTATGCTGATGATGTCGTTCAGAAGGACGATGACAGATCCTTGACCAAACCATCCAGCTCAGAGAACAAAGCTCCATCAAAATCATCCACTCTGAGCTGCAAATCTTCTCCGCCATCTCATGACATAGAAGTAAGAGGTCAAATACTGATTGTAATAAAGATGCGTATATTTCAGATATTCATGTGAAGAACAGACCACTGAAGAAAGAGCAATGAATACGAATATTGACAGTAAGCCAAAATATATGAGTACAGAGTAAGTAGACTTACTGTTAGCCAGTTGGTGAATAGATTAAAGCCAATTGAAGTCAGTTAAAGTTAGACATTAACACCGTTGGATGCCGACCAGATCAGTAGTCTATCGGTCAAGGGCTCTGGCTCGAGACCGGTAGGTCTTGGTTTCGAATCTCGTGAGTGCGGGATCGTAGGTGCGCACTGCTGAAGAGTCCCATAATAGGACGAAACGACTGTCCAGCCCTTCCAGGTATTCCATGATGGTCTAGCTTTAATTGACTCACGCTTTCAACCTCACATATAAGCCCAACATATGAATAGAATTGAAAATGTCACATGAATAAATAACAGAATAATTGGAAAGATAAGTAC